CTTTAGTGTATTTATGGTCTTTGTTTGTTCATGGACATAATGCTATTCTTGGAAAGATCAAGTCACACTGAATCTAAAGATATTGGCATCTTATTTGTGTGACTTATGACTCCAAGAGGTGTGATTTTAAACTGTCACTGTGTGTCAGGGTTGTTAATTATAAACAAGTTTCTATTTTTGCTCTTTCGGATGAATAACTTGAACCTCAGCTTTACCCTCACGCATTTGGAGGATGGAGATGCCTTTTTATAGAGTTTTTTAGCACCTACATCTATATATATAGTTGTGAGTCATCAGCATAGCCGTGAACATCAGTACTGAACTTGTGGAGGATGATCCTGAGTGGTAAAATATAGGGCTGCCCCCAAATAAAGTCGGCTAGTATTCGTTAGTTAAAGCCATTTGTCGGCTTATTATCCCACGTTTAAGATATTAAGTTAATTATTTAAATACATATATATCTATATTTTATCAGCTGTCTGTTAAATGCTCACAGAAAAAACGGTAATGATTCTGAATGTGTCGCAAAACAACCTTTTTAATTTATTTCAACAAAGTATAACAAGTCTTGATGTTCAAAACACATCAGTGTTGTTATAAGGTCCGTGTTGCAACCATCCACTGATACTTTAGTTCCAGTGAAATGGTGTTGTTTTCTGTGGCTATCCGACTAATGTAAAGTGGGTCGACTAAGACTCTTCTCATCGACTAACAGTTTAGTCGAGTATAAGTGGGTTGCTCTACTAAAATAAAAAAGAGTAGTGGACCTAGAATTGAGCCTTGTGGAACTCCATTTGGAACTTATTTTTGTATTTAGACCAGAAGCAGCAATATGATGAGAGAACAGCTCGAGAACAATACTAATTCTTTCCATATATCCATATAAGCTTATTCTTATACTCAGGAGGCTATATAGTTCAAAGAAAGAAATATAGCATGGAATTGTGCAATTTACATCCAAAATTGTCATGGTTATTTTGTTATATCAAAGCTAACACACATTTTATTGATAAGCAGTGGACCAATTATTGAGCCTTGTGGTACTCCATTTTGATGTTTAATCAAAACAAGAAGCTGCAAACTGATTTTTAAGACCAATACTGAGTTTTAAATATTCGATTACGATACATAACCTTTCATAAACACATAATAATAATCTTTAGGTTTTTTTGTCGAATTGTGACCAAGATACATCATAAGTGGGATATTTTATAATGAACAAGTGTTCTTCTATGGTCCACAGGAAGCATTTAGTCTACAAGGAACGTTTGAACACACAAACAAGATTAACCAACAGCCGTTGCAGTCTTGACAAACTGCTGCTGTCGACGCAGGCAGATGAGTAAAAGGTCATTAACGCTGTGAGCTCGTTACCTCTGCGCTATTCCCTGCAGCCTGTTGTTCTCCCAACAGGTGTTCTCCCATGGTGAGCATGCACCTCCTCGCTCCTGTTTCGGTGTTAACAGGCAGGTAACATTAGCATGGAGCTACAGACGGAAAGAAAAGCATCAGTGACACGACTCAGACTGGCTGAGCTGCAGCTGTGTTTCCAGACGTGAGCAGAGCATTTCACCGAAGAGAAAGACAGAAAGACATTCTCACCCCCCTCTCGCCTGGGAGGCAAACAGGTCTTTGGCGCTCCTCGAGGTCCTCCGGGGAGCGGCCTTGGCACCGTTACCCTGAGAAGGAGCGCTGGTGCTGCATCGAACAGAAGATGCTCCTAATTAGTGCTGGTTGTGACTTCTTTCATCTCCAGGCTCTTTGATATGACAGCAACGCGAGAGCACACACACACACGAGTGTCTGCTGATGCTCACGAGGTTATATGGTTGAGAGAAAGGAACTGAGCGTGAAACTGTACATACTGCATGCAGACGTGTCAAGGTTATTATGATTAAGTGAAGCTAAGAATAAAACAGAGCAGCAGTAAACACGTCGCTGCACTCAGATGTTGCAGCTCCCTTCACTGACACCAAAACACTCTTTGTTTTGAGCTTTAGTTGCAGCTGTGGCTTTCAGAGTTATTCAGAAAGTAAGTTTGAAATACTTCAGATCACAGACTTTTTTGTTTGATGGTAACGGCTTTATTTTGATAGTCCACCTACAGATGGTTTAATGTATTAGTTGAGATTTAAAAAAAAAAATTAATTAATCTATGTTGTTTTTGTAAAAAAAATGATAAAAGTGCACAAATTGTAGTTGAATTTCCACAAAATGCTAATTAATAACATTTCCATCCACGACTGTAATGCGAATATTAGTTGTTGGTCCATCGAGCAGCTTCAGTGGACGTCCGGGTTGCGTCCGACTTTCTACTAATAGTCGCACATTTATGATATTAATTAAATTATTTTAATACATCTATATATATATATATAGATATATAGAGATATTTTATCAGCCACCTGTTAAATGCTAACGGAAAAAGCGGTGATGATCCTGAAAGTGTCAGAAAAAAACGCAAGGGGACCGAGCATTTAGTTAATTTAATTCAACATCACACAAGTCTTGTTAAAAACACGGAATAAATAACTTCCAACTAAACTAAAACAAACACTCGCAGACTTAACGATACTATGGATGATGTATAACATGTATAACAGTTAATAAATTAACTCTCTACAAACTCGCTCTCTGCCTGAACCTGCTGTGTCTTCAACCCGGGAGTCAGAGTCCTGGTTGGAGCCGCATTAAATCATCTGGTCTCAGCCAAGAGTAAAAAAAGGTTGAATTTTCTTTCAAAACTTTGATGCTCAAATTTTAAATATGGATAAAAATATAAGAATGGAGACCAAGTTCATCAATCAATCAGGTTTTCTAAACTAAAATTTTAATTATCAATTAATGGTCTAGATAAATCATTCAGTCTATGAAATGTCAGAAAATTGTTCATCCCAGTCTCTCAAAGCCCAAGGTGATACTTTAAATGTCTTTGATGAGTTTAATTCTTATGTATAAATACCAGAATGTATGTGCTGTGTTTAGATGTCTATCTTGTGTTAATGTTGTGTTGTATGAGTTTATGTACAGACTGTGACAACAAATATCCTGGAAAGGACAATAAATCTTCTAAATCTTATTTTGTCAGGTTAAACCTCAAAAATATTCAATTTAATATGATATAAAACAGAACTAAAGCAAATAAATCTCCATATTTGAGAGGTTGAAAACACAATTTTTGCATTAAAAATGACATTAACGATGAATCGATTATCAAAGTAGTGCAAATTCTGTTGTCGACTAATTGTTGCAGCTCAACTAAAATGTACAACTTTAATGTGCGGGGACATAAAATCTGTTCACACCAATCTGCTCCTATTAAAAAATCTGTGTATTTCCTGTGACTTCCTGTGAACGGCGAGCCTTGTGCGTCACATGTGAACAAAGGAAACGGGCTTTAAAGTGCTGCTCTCTGTCGAACCTGTCGCTGTGACTTGACAGCGCTGACTGCAGAGGTGAGATGCATCATTCTCGGAGGCTGAGTCAGATCCAATCAGAGGTGTCTGTGCAGCGGCGGCTCTTCATTCATGTGGACACAAAACCCATTTTAATTTATTGTGCTGATGATGTGGCCACTTTGACACCGTAGCTGAGGCTTTAAGGGCGGCTGTGCTCGTTAACCGGACAAGACAGGTCATTATTTAGAAAAAGGTGTTTGAATTTTAATTAATCTAAAATTAGTGTGTGAGCAGGTAGTTTTTTCTATGTGTGTTTGCTGCTTTCTCTTCCACTGTGTGTTTTATTGACCTTGTCGGAGAGATGCTGAGAGGACCGGTGATGGACAGCCAGTTGGCTCCTTGGTAGGTGCCGGCTGACTCCTCATTTTTATCGTCTTGTCGTTCTTTTTATGCTCGCCGCACGCTGTTTGTGTTCCGGATGCCGTTTTCACTGCGAGACAATCCAATCTTCTCTGTTGTGACTTTAAGCTTTTTTTTTTTTTTTTCTGTGTTTTGTTTTTGTAGCAGAGGATGGGTAAAATTCATATGTTGATCTGTAATCATTAAGGTTTTCAGACAACCGTGGTTACCGTGGTAACAGCAACACTTGTTGAGCAGCTAATTTGACTCGAGGAACAAGTGGTGTGTGTCTGTTTTTAGACAAACTAAACTGTTTTTTTTTTTATTTATTAATCTGTCAATTATTTTCTCAGTTAATGAAGTTGTTGTTGTCCATGAAAATGTTGATCACAAAGCACAAGGTGACGTCCTCAAGTGTGTTGTTTTGTCCACAACCCAAAGTCAGGCCGCAGATCATAGTAAAGTTTGTTACTTTGCTCAGGAGTTGGACAGGAAGAGATAAGATTTTATGTAGACCATAATCAACTCTGCTTATAGGTCCAATTCTTTGTCTATTCCCCTTTGATTCCTGATCCATTTGTGTGGAAAAAGTAGGACTACACAGGTTTAACCACAGTGTAGGAAAAGAGTAGTGTTATAGTAGTTTGAGCTACTGTTTCCACCTGAACATAAACCTGGTGCTGGTTCTGGTTCAGGGTTGGTTCAATTTGAGAACCTTCTAAGAACCAGTTTGCCACTATAAATACTTAGTGTGGCCACAAGGCGATTCTTGGTTTTCCTGGTCAAGAGTCGGTCGTTTGGCTGCTGCAAAAACCTGGTTCAGGAT